GCTTGTTGTCGGTCGGGGTTGTTGCCTTACAAGCTTTCATACAGAATCTGTATGTATATTATATTTGTATTTATAAGTGTAAAAAACAATATATTATATATACATATTTGTTTGATTTTGAGTTTTCCTCCGCGCACCCTGGGGACATTTAGCACCTTTTGTGCCAGAGGGTTTTGTGCATGCACAAAGGGAAATCCGTATTTGCAGTATTTTCTTGAAAGATTTGCCGGACGCACAACGAGCTACTGCACTGGCGAGCACAAGACCTCAACTAACTGATGCCTTGCGGCATGAAATACTGGGAGAGCTTGGGCAATATATACTAACATCACCTGGCCCTCGATGTGACTACACAGATGGAAGGACATGCACACATCCTTTTAAGGATGTCGTGGAAGGGCCAGCTCAAGGTAGAACGGCAAAGAGCCAAGAAGGCCGGCCTGAGCAGAACCTCAATCGCCCAAGAAATGATTTAACCGCATCAGCTTGACGTGGTGACACATGGTAAGTTACTCGGGCATGCTTGTCGAGTGATGCTTGAAGACTCTCAGACAGTCACCCAGCTGAAATGTGCTCAAGATTCAGGCGAGTTCGTGATGACTGGTTGGAGAACGCCGATCTCATTGAGGATCCGGAAGAGACTCCGAGGAGGGCGACCTGATCAGAGGGCCACGCTGCGGTACAAACCACTCCTGAACATCAGACTGAAGGAGTGCCAGAGACGGGAGGCCATGGAGAAGGTGGGAGGAATACGATCACAAGATGTGGATGCCAACGACATGCGTAGAAACAGAGCATGCAGGGTGTTCGCGATAGGGTCCGATTTGGGAAGAATGCATCGGATGGCCCTTTCCCTCAAGCCTTCTTTGCCTCAATAAACCTTATTGGGCGGCAACTGATGGACCATGAAGCAAGAAGAACGCCAGCTCTGCAGCTAGATCGATGAGGCGAACCTGAACAACAAGCGGAACCCAAGCGGAAGGCCAAAGGGAAGGGAAGAAGGGAAAGGACAAGCGGAAATGGAGGGAATGAGAGAGGCAAGTTTCATTGACAACCTTCAGAACAGTTGTGGAATGGCTCTTTATGGAGCGTTCTGGGCTAGCATATCCCACGGTCAGAAAAAGGCAAACTTGCTGAGCACATCTGACTGGTTCATCAAACCTACACCTTGAGGGTCGCAATCGTCACCCATCTAAAAAACCAGGCTTAACTAGCGTCCTTGCTCCGTGCGTAGCGATGCCAGGAGCCCCTAGTAGCTTGTTGCCCCTAGTAGTAAGGCCAGGAGCCCCTAGTAGCGTCCTTGCTCCTACTCAAACCCTGGTAATTCTACAAAAGTCAGAATATATCACCCACTTGCGGTCGAGTCGGCATGTCCACTGCAAAGCAGCGGGGTTTATGAAAAAGAGGTTTCTCAAATCAAGTGCGCGATGTTATATAATTTGAATTAATTTGACAAGTTTGTGTGAACCGGATCTTAAGTGCGATCGCGCACACACGACTCATGCAGAAAGGGATCTTCAGTGCGATCGCGCGCACACGCACACACACACACATTCATATACACTGCCATGTGAGATTGGCTTATCGCGTTCTGCGACATTTCTGAAACACTTGTTCCATTGTGAGACAGTTGTGAGGTAACGGCTGTGCTTGACAAGGGTGTGCCGGTCACGGAGTGCGCTACGGTAACGGAGGTTCTAGGATCGATCGAGAAACCGCGAAAAGGAGAAACCGAGAGAAGCACAAGACTCAGTTCCCATGGCAGACTCAGACGACTTCAGGTAAGGTCATGCGGAAACTCATTTTTCCACCACTGAGAGTTGGTTGATGGGGCCAACAATGGGGAGAAACAGTTTCCTGCAAGGAGGGAGGGGATATGATCTAGCGAAAGATTGGTTCGGCTCGTTTGACTTGGGTGTTTTAACATGTTAAAAAGAACACATCTTTAAGTCTCATCTCAGGTGCTTGCAAGGCCACTTGTGCAATCTTGCCGCTTCCCGCTGGGCACTCGAATGATCTGACATGAATTTGCATCACATATCTCATATCACATATAATTTGCTCAGAGTTTTTGGTACCAAGTACTTGTTTGGGATATCTTGGGAGGAGAAACCAAAAACACTTCATTGATCTTCATATATCTTCATTGTGTTTGCAACTCAGCTGCTGTTCGAGGACCTCAGTGCACTGCAGAGAACTCCTTGGATCCTGGAGCACATGGCTAAGCTTGCGATACATGCGAAGATCCGAACCTACCACCCTTTCAAACATTAAACAACAATGAAACCAATGCAATTTCTCTAGGCAAATCCACTGATTCCTTTGCACATTTGGACTGGGTCGAAAGGATCTGTTTTTGTGTGAAACACATATGGCGGGACGCCCAGATGCCCAGATGCCGGATCCAGGAGGTCTGAAACGACTAGAGATTGGTTTCTTTTGACGATGCTCAGGAGGCAGCCAATTCTCCGCGGCTTTGCAGGTCCTCACACCTGGACGTGAGTACGGGTCACCTGGATGGTGGGTGGATGGAGATGGCTACATCACTTGTGATGAACAGAGTGGATATGTCATTCTTTTTCCTTGTCCTTGATCTCATGAGTTCTGGTGTCAATCTTGGATTCCAGGTTTCGACACAGTCAAGGTTGCCAGAAGGGGTTTTTCCCGTTCTTAGGCACTTTCTTACGATCCGTTTTGCAACTGTTCTCGCAGGAAGCATGGAGTGTGCAGCAGTTCCCCTGGATGACAGCAGTGGCGCGGTTTGGGGATCGGGCAAGGGGACAGGAGATAGTGAGTGTCAATCTGTTCTTGGAAGTATGTTAGTGGTCCCCCAACCAGAAACGGATTGCCCGATACTATAGCATGTATATATAAAATATACAGACGTTATATAAATATACTCACTTACCACATACATGAAGCAAGGGACAGGAACTTACAAAGCTTCTGGAGTCGGTTGGCCCCCTGACGTATTTGTTCGGAATGGACAAGAACGCGAGCGACCACAACCGTCTTGAATAGATGCCTCAAGCAAACATTTGTTGGAACCAATATGCATATCACGCGCATATATATATATATATATTATATAATAAACCGGTTTTGATAGACCTTTGCAGGAGCTGGCACTCATTTCAATGACCGAGATAGTGTCGAAGTTAGCGACAGTTAGCGCCGGATGATTCCTACAATTCCATGTGCTTTCAATTTGACCGCTTCAATACTTTTGCATTGTAACATTTGTGAATGGACCTAGCGCCAGGTGGTGAGTGCAAGGCTTCATCCGACTGTGCAATCACCTCAAAGGACCTTGGAGTGGAGACAGAGTTTTAGGTTGGGTCAGTTGGATAAGTTTTAGGATGATGCCCTAGGTGCACTTAGTATACTTAGGGTCTTGGGCTATGATTTGTCCAATCTGTGCAATGTCAGTCACGCTTTCGAGCATGTCAAGCGTGACTGTGACCCTGTCCACCGGGCTAAGGTCCGAGCCGACGGAACAGTGGGTGAGTGTGTTTGCAAGCGTTTGGGCAAGCCCAGAAAGAACAGACTGACGTTTGTCACCCGACAGATCATAGTTGGAAGAGGTTGGAAGCAAGAGAATCCGAAGTTCACCCTCCGATAGGTCTATCAAGGGTAATGCGAAAAGACATTTAAAAACACACTTGAGAAGCCTTTGGATAGGCATTAGTTGTCAGGTGCAGTCCAAAGTTGTCCCGAAACTCGACCACATGGCCTGGGTGGCATGGCCTCGTGGCCATAGATCCCCACGGATCTAAGGTTGGTGGAATCGCGGTCTTCCTGGCTACTGCGAGTTGTTCGGGGTCCTGAATGTTCTCTTCACCCTTTGTGTTGTCGGGGTTGAGCGGAGGGTGAGCGGTGTATGACCAACAGACTCATGGGGCCCAACGATGGACAACGCGAAACGCGAAGAAGCGAGGCTGGTGCCTGACCTGCAGCGTCCTGCGCTGATGGACTTCCGGAAACGGGCCCTGGCAGGTGGGGCGCGCCTATTTGTATTTTGCTCAGACGATGGTACGAGGCAGTTGCTTTCATACGCCAGAAAGCTCAATGGGGCCATAGGCAATGGCCGTATCAAGCTGCATCAAGTTGCTTGGACCATACGCCATGGGGGGTGCCAAGAGAAGGACGAGATCAGTGTGTTTGGGGGGCCGTTGGTTGGACCCATTTTCAGTTCAAGAATTGCGCGTCCGAAAGTTTGAAGCCATACCAATCGCAACAAGTGTTTGAAACTCGGCTTTCTTCAGCACACAGCAGAAGACTGTGTCAGCTGGTCCAAATCCCATCACATCTCAATAGTTTTGGCATGTTTTTTGTCTCCCACACATGATCCCGGGCAACTTCCCACCTTTCGACATCAGGCTGTCATCACAACTGGCCCGAGGCGCCTGCCCAGGGTGGCCAGTCCGTGAAGTGGTTTGACCTGCTGAATACACAGACGATTGTGGCTCACGTGGTTCACACTTTTCGTCACAATTCTGCTACCGCAAAGGCCGTGTGATTGGACACACCTTTTTGTATTGGATCTACGTCGGGCTCCGGCATGCTTCCGACGATTTTTTTTGGCCGACTGTCCCATTGGATACCATGCAACATGGAATGTCAATGTTGGATATCAACCTCTTTGTATCTTTTCATCAAGATGTCCTTGTTTGGCGGATTGGTTTGTTTGGTGACCGCAGGATCGTTGTGCCGCTGAGTTGGACAAGCTGGAACTGCTTGAGCTGGTGGGGCGTTTAGGGTTGGCGAGCTGGTGGCTCCCAGGTTGCCGAGATGCAGTCTTGGCATCGAATCCAGATACTGTATCACTGGTTTATGCTTATTCTGCACGTTCAGCTCTAGGGGCAATATTGGATATATATATATATAATTACTTGTACTTGGATTTATCTGTCTTTCTCAGATTTTTGGGATACGTTCCCTCTCTTTTGGAAGATACCTGATCCCTCAGAACTCCTTTCAGGTAAAGCGCGAGCGGCAAGCAACGGCCGATCCTACTAGGGAGGCACGGCTCGAATTGGATCCCAACAGGGAACTTATGGGAACTTAGTTGTAAATAGCTTGAAGCTCCAAGGTCCTAAGGTTGGAGGCCATCGCTATTAGGTTGGAGGCCATTGCTAGTGGAGGCCAGTACAACTAGTAGCAAGAAGCTACTAGTAACAAGATGGGCTTCCATGGCTTCCACCCTGTCCGGATCTTTCCCACCACGGAGGCTGCAAGCCACCTTCCCTGAGGGACATGTGCTAGACACCTGGCCATGCTTTTTCGTCTTGATCAGGTGCCAGAGTGCGCTCATGGGATCATGTTCCTTGGCTTTCAAACGGACAACTAGGATCAACTAGGAATGTTCAATCTATATATCTATCTATATTATGTATGTATATATTTTTGACAACTAGAGGATTGGTGTGAAGCATTGTGATGTGATGCTTTTGATTCATGTCTCGCATTCCGGGCTTCTGGAGGACCACAGCAAGACTCACTGCACAAGCAGGGTCAGATCGCTACTCATCGATCACGACTAAATGATTCAATGATCCTTCAAGCAAGTGGGTCTTGTCTCAGGACCCCCAACTATTGGTTTCCACCCCAATCTGTGGGTTCCTCCTTTTGATTACCTCGCCTGGAAGTACTTCCTTTCTTCCCAGACAGCTGCCGGCCGTGTCTGGCACCGAGCCACCTCCCCTCGCTGCTTGGACAGCAGAGTCAGACGCAGTTGAGCTGGGGCTTCCAATTGATGGCCACGTTCAGTGGAGATAGGGGAGATCAATGGTGGAAAGGTGGGGTCCCCTTCCCTTCATGGGCTTGATGAACTGTTTTGAAAGGTGCTACTGGTAGGGCCGTCATGCGATGGAAGACATCTTGAACACCGCCTTTCTTCTTCTAGAGATGCTGAGATTTGAAGGATCGTCGCAGAATTGAAGAGTTCATTTTGTGTAGTGGAAATACAGTAGACACATGTTCCTGATGAGCCTCTACATGTAGGAATATCGTTCTCACTGTTCCCACATCAAGCCCTCTTGACTCTGGTCAGGCCTTGCTGTTGCTCTTCGCCTGGTTTGTCTTGTGACCGCTTGTCGATACAGTGGTGACACCTGGCCCAGTGAGCCTTTTGAACATTGATTGCATAGTTTGGAAAGTTTGATGTGTTTTGCATCAACTGATGTGAATACAACACGTGTTCACCTCCGATAGCTTCGGGTTTTCTGGAGCTTTGGATTGATTCTCGGATGGATCATTGTCCAATGTACATAGTAAGATGAGATTTCTTTAGATGCCCACTGCATCTCCCATTTCGAGCGCCGCGGTGCCGTGCCCTTCAGTCTGCTTCAGCGTCGCACTCCGTCGCTCGGTGACCCGGTGACGCTGGGTGACTCGGGACAGCGACGAAAACGGACGAAGCCATGGAGGGCAATGGAGGGTGTTGACTCACATCTGTTGACTCCGTGGACTCACGTTTCTACCTAAGTAGAGTAGCTTCCCAGGTGTGACAGGAACCAGCTTCATCCATCTTCCTATGACTAGAGTCCAAAACTCTTGATTTGCAGTAGCTTCTTGTTCCTAGTAGCGATGCCAGGAGCCCCTAGTAGCGTCCTTGCTCCTAGTAGCGATGCCCTTTGCTCCTAGTAGCGGGAGATGTTGAATCGCATGGACTAGAGTCCACATGGCTGGATGGTTGGTGCCGTTTACACTTGGTGGGTAATGTAGGTGATGGTCGGTGTGCCATGTCTGGACGTTTAAGGACTAGTCTCATCTCATCATCTCATTCGAAGCGCTTTCGCCCTCAAGTCTGGAGGTTGGACACATCTCACTGTGCTCGACATGTTGCATCATTTGTGCTACTGTGAGACAAGTGATCGATATATTTAGATATTATTAGATATTTATCACCAAGAATGAGTCAAGACGTGCGACAAATATCGACAAATGCAATTCATGAAGAAGCAGAGGCAATTCCATATGCATGCAGAACATGACAGAGCGCCAAAACACAATCTTTCTCCACTGTCGCCAAAGATGTACGATCCGCTTTGGCCCCAGCACCATGGGAAGCGGGTTTGGGCTGCTGCTGCAAATGGTCATGAGTATGTGAAGCTCTTCAACGAGGCAGCTGGGACGCCATCACAGGCAGTCGGGCATCGACGGGAACTTGGAGAAGTACGACCTGAACACTTGGAGGGTGCAGCCGGGCGGCGACGATCGAGCGTCAATGAGCCAAGTGGGCGTCGATGCTTGGCAGATTTGCAGGGCTATGCCAAAGAAGGTGCCGCCGGCAGCAATGCTCGGCCGGCTTTCTGGCGATACCATGAGAAAACCAATGACACACCCAGGTGTGCATCGGAAGCTCCTCCAAAGCTGGGCTTCATGGAGCTGATCAACCAGTATGAAGTGATGCAGCAGCAGCAAAAGCAGCAGCAGCAGCAGCGGTTAGACCAACAGCTTCTTCGGCAACAAAAGCTCTATGAGGGTGCCTTTGGTGCTGCTTCAGATCGACACGGGGCTGCCATGCGAGTTGCTGTGGGTGGGCCTAGCCACTTAGACTCGCATTTGCAGCTGTCAACTGTGAACCCTGACCAAGAGGCCGTCGGCGAGCGCCTCTACGAAGGTGCAGCAGGTTGCAGAAGTGCTTGGCGCTCACCCCGACAGGAAGGCCTGCGTCCAGCACCAGGTGCTGCTGTTTCACAGGTGAGTCCTTTGGAGTTGCGTGTGGCGCGTTTGAAAGACTTTGACGGAGCTGCTGGCTGCTTGAGTGGTGCCTTATCGGGCTGTGCTCCGAAGGAGCTTCAGCCTGTCGGGGATGGCCGCGCCTTGTGGCCGCGTCGCGGCAGCTATTTGGCGCGGAGCCCGCGGGATCGGGAGATCATTGACTCGATGATTGCAGGCTTGGAGGTCACCATCAAGTGATGACGTTCGCTTGGGGTGTCAGCGAGTCGCTGCTTTCGTAGGAGTGACGTCGCTCCTACGCTGTGAATCTGACTTTAAGTTGCCTGTATTGCTAAAGGCAAGCATGGCTTCTCCTCCAGAGACCTAAGGTGTAGCGCATTGAGGCCAAAGATCAAGCTGAAGGCTTCTGACCTTTGTGTCATTGGGATCTTGACCCGAGGTCCCGTGTTTTTGCCAGGCGATGGGGTACAAAGCCTCTTACTTTTGTAATCAGTTGTATCATAATTATGACCTGGAGCAAGCAATGCAGAGGACAAAATGCACAGGGCATTGAGTTTAGTGTTGGAAAGCAAAGGAAAGAATGGAACCAAATCCATACCCACACCTAGAAAACTAGATTTGTTTTTAGACCTTGTTTTGTGTATCCAGGTGCACTGACAGACGGCCAATGGTTTGCTCGGAACTCTTCCTGGCTCAGCTTCACGTGCTGTTGGTGTCGGGCCACACGTGTCGCGCCAGCCGAGGCGCGGGCGAGGTGCCCGGTGTACCGATTCATGGCACCGCCCGACGCACCAATATCTCGATGAAGCCCCGCGGGCGCACTTGGGAAGTGAGTCCCAAACAACTGGATTCTTATTCCCCAAACAGCTTTGCTGAAAGAGGTCCTCAAGTCTTGGATAGAAACGATCCTGGGCCCAGATGATTTCTGGCCTCTGTCTCCCTTTGTTTTCCTTTGTCTTCCAAAGGGCAACAACTTTCAAGATTCACCGGCAAAAAGAAACATCAAAGCTGCCGCTGCTGCTTGAGGTCAATGCTGGTGTAATTTGTTTTGAACACTCCGTGTGTGTGTGTGTAGGAATGGGTCCGGGTGCGTGCGCAATCCAGTCAACCCACGATGTACGTGCTAACCTGCTAACCTTTGGGTCAGGTAAACTCAGAATATCAATGACTTTTCCTCTGCAAGCCCGTAATTTCCTCAGACGTGACGTGATTTGTGACAAGTAAATTTGATCACTGTTTTAAAGTTGTTCCAACTCAAGAAATGACTGACCTTCCTTGCTTGTTCCTTGCTCCAGCCTGAGCTCGGTCACAGCGTGTTTGCTTCGACAAGGAGAAGAGAGGTGCTTTGACCTTGCCTGCAGGATTGGACTTGTGTGCAGGAAGCGAAAGCCAACCTTTGACAAGGCAGCGTGATAGTGTAATAGATTGTAATAGTGTAGCTGTTGCCAACAGCTTTTCCTGTCTTCCAAGTTCCCTTGGTGTTTCCCAGCCAATCCTGTGTCACCCAAACCATCCCAAACCTAAAGCGTACTGCGTCAAAACGAGTCTGGGCTCATCGTGTGAGCGGCTTCATGCCGGCCTGCCTTTGCACCTCGTCCCCACCTCCATCCCGCCCAACCTTGAAACATCGAGAACCGACCCTCGAGTGTGAACCGACCCTACGCGCCCGAAGGGCGACACCCCAAACAGGAAGAACACGAAGAGCGGCCGGGTCAAGCCTGTCAGCAAGGAATCCAGGTCGAATCTACGCCTTTTGAAGAGAGATCACATGTGACATGGGACCAAAGGTGTCCCGTTCTCAAGGCTGTGCTGAAGGTAGAAACCTTCGCAACTCTTTGGGTTGCAGTCCAGCAACCGCCCACCCGAGTGAGCCTGGAAGCATCTGACACTGACGGTGTGAGGTCTCGGAAAAGCAACTAGCGGCCTATATACATCCTGAAAGGATCATGATATTTACAGTAGGTGGTCAGCATGGCACGCTAAACCATCCTATTCGAATAATTAGGTGGTTCATTGCGGCATGCGCAAACAGGCATGCTTGGACTCTTGCACGGACGGAGTGCTGGCCCTCGCGACATGCATGTTGGGTGGCCCTATCACCCCTCAGCTTTTTGGAGCCTATTAAATGCCGAGCACCAACTTTTGTGGTATTTGATAAATAAAGGTTTCTATGTCTTGGAGTTTTTGATGTGTTTGCGTATGGTGTTCAATTTCATACAAAGCAGATCAAAGCAGAAAGCAGACCTTTACAAGTGTGTATACAGCGTTGTCGGTGATGTTGTGGACAGATGCTGACAGATGGCAGAGTCCACAGCACATTTCGATGCAGGCAAAGCGGTGAAGATCCCATGGATCCCGAGGTGCATGTCATGTGCGCTCTTTGCACATTGACAAGTTGGTCCGTTTGCTACAGTGCACAACACACCCACTAGGAATTTACATGGGTGGGATGTCATGATGTTTCAGACACGATCACGTTCAATCAGGACTTAAAAGTAGAAACAACATGAAACAGCAAGTTAAACCAGTCTTTGAAATTGTTTCATGTTTCCTGTTCTTCTTTCTCGTTCAGTCAACATCTTGGGTTTGATGGTCTCCAAGTTCAGGATGCTGCAGAAGATGAGTCCTCTGCAGTAGCTTGATTGCACGTGAGGTCTTACCCAATAGCTAGTTATGCCGAGTACAGAGGGTCTCAGCCAAGTGAGGTTCTGCAGCAAGGTAGTTCCAGTTGAGTCCGATTTGGTTAGGGTGTGCCTGGAAACAACAAAATAAGCAGGGGTGGGACTGGACTTTGTTTTTTCCTGTAGGAATTGACATCAGTTCTGAGTTCTCTAAAAAGGTCAAGTATTTACAGTATATAATTACATTCTTTTGACACAGGCAAACAAGTTTAGTGAGCCTTGAAAGATGTTTGAATGCACCCAATTCAAACAAAGATACACCTGTGGCATGTAAGGACACACCATCCACAAATGCCCTAAGGCCTGGCTTGAGGATTTAACCGCGAGAGCAGGGAGCAGCGGCGATTTGCGGGCAGCCTTTGCACTGAAGCCTTGCTCCACCAAGGACGTATGGAGTGGGGCTCCGAGCAGATCGGATTTTAAAGAGGCTGAACGGCTGAACATAGCCGAACGAAGAAATAGATTGCTCCGATATGCTGCGATTAAGGAAAAATACAGTTAAGTTAGAAAGTTAAACGATAGAGGTTCACCACTTTAGCATGCAACACTTTGCTTGAAAAGGACTTGCACAATCAGTGTCCCCATGTGTACCCCGATTTTGAGAGCCTGTGCTATTAAACAATTTGGCCACACTGCACAAGAAAGACACAGACTTGAACACTAAGAAACAAGTCTGCCTCAGTTTTCCAGAACGTCGAGTCAGCGCATGCTACAAGCCGTATGCTACAAGCAGGAGTAGTTTTTATCAATGCAAATGTTGACGCAGGAGATTCGACAGCTGGGTGACCAGGCCTTTCTAGGTGGCAAAAGGACTCCTGGCGCCTTGCCCATCTATGACTTAGATGGAAAGGTGAGCCTCAAGTGTCGTGGCTGAAAAAGATTAGGCATACGTATATACATGTTATATTTCCACACATTCCACAAGGGTTTTGCATTTCCCCTCGCCTGAGCCCATCAGGTTCCTTTTGGCCGCCTACAAAGCCAGTGAGAAGAGCCGAGATCGACTCAGAGGTGAAGATTCAGAGGTGGGTCGATTGTGGGATGACGAGGTCCCATGCAGCTCAGGTGGATAAACGCTTGGGATTTGACCCATTGTGAAGGCAAGCGTAAGGGTACTTTCAAGATCTTTGAACATGTTGCGAGTCTTTTTACATGTAAGCCACGCGTTCTTGACAGATCGTTTAAGAATGATGCTACTTGTCATGTCTTGTCCTGTCGTTATGAACTCCGGATCTTTTTCCTGTTTGACCTGACCGGCAGGTGGATTTCCATCGCCCATTCCTTTGGTGGCTCTTGAAGAAGGCTGGCCCGGTGCTTCCGCTCCAACCTTTGCTGATGTGGTCGTTTGGCAAATCCGACCATAGCCTGGTGTAACAGGGGTGACTATAATATAGTTGATCATTATCCTGCTAGAAGGCCACAGTTGATGCATCAGTGACATGCATCATCCTACCCAGCAAGCTGTGGAGGCCCGGGAGCTGCAGCTCCTCAGCAGCCGCGAGGTGAAACGTGGTAGCTTGGCACCCGGGCGTGTGGATGCAGCACAGAAGAGCGGGCAGTGGTCACTGAGCTTGGAGCAGAACCAAGCGGAGGTGGGAGGGTTTGGAGCACGCAGAAGCGGCAAAACTCATCATCAAAAGGTGAGACCAACGCCGGTTGCAGTTGGTTTTTCTCAGGACAGGTCAAACAACTGTACAAGCAAAGGTCTTGAGACCAGCCTGGCAGTAAAACATGCTTGTTTGCCAAGAGTGAATGCCTAGGCCCAGGCGATGCAAACACGAGTGAGCGCGTCCTTGTTTTGGTCACCTCTTGCATGTATCCACCTTAGCCTGGACGAAGGCCAAGACCACGACGTTTTGCTGCCACCTAATTGCTAGACCCAAAATCAACCACCCTAAAGAACCGTCACCTTTCAACTTTCTTGCTTCTTTTAGCACTCCTCAATAAGTCCGCCCGACTCGGTGTCTCCCCGTTCGCGAGGCCTCCGACGAGGAGGGCCGCCAGAAGAAGGCCCTGGCCCGCGCCCGCGTGCAGGACGCCAACAGCATGCAGATGGATGTCCGTTTCCGGGAACTCAAGCCGTCCGAAGGCCGACAACGGGGAGCCATGCGCACCAGGGAAGATGGGAGGAGTGGACAGGGACTGGAAACAAGAGGATGGAAGGAGAGGTTGAGGTGGATTGCCACAACGGTGGACGCAAGATGACACAAGTAGATGCAATATGATTCATGCAATTAGATTGTAGCAGTAGATAGACTATAGACATCTATAGACTATAGAGGCGTTGATGCATGGTTGTTCCTCAATGTTCAAGTCGATTGCGAGTTGCATGATTGATTGCCCGATGTTGACTGCAATCCTTTTTTTTGCCTACGGCCGTGTAGTAATCTCAACAATGAAGGACACTTTGAAGACGAAATGAGGCGGAAAAATTGCACTTATCGTTTTAGATCATTTTAGTATAATAAGGAACGTTCCCAGGGCTCAGAAGTTGCTTGGCCATTTCGGTGTTCAACTTGGATATGGTACCTTGTCGCACTAGCAAAACGCAGCATTGCTCCAGGTTTGCGCTAGTAACTAGGCAAATTGACTTTTTTTGACTTTAAAAACATAGAAAACAGGCTCTTTCCAATGACAGTTGTTTATAACGCTAGTTAGCGCTGGGTTCTATTACTGTACTTAGGCTTTTGGCTGTTGATCAAAGCTGGTCGGTGGCCAGAGGCACTGCCAAGCGGAAAAGGACCGCTGGCGGATCCTCCGACCATGAGGCAGGAAATGGCTCATACAGTACAGCTTGATGCGATTGATGCGATTGATTGATATTGATTGCCCAAATTCACCATCAGAGGTTCAGCGCTGTAGGATGCTGTAGACTGTGGGTGTGTCACGCCTTGTCCGCTGAAACCGAGTGAAGATTTGATCGCATCAGCCTCATGTTGTCTGACATGGGACGACCCAACACCAGGACGTTTCAGACATGATCACTTTCAAGCAGGCAGCAAAAGTAGAAACAACAAGTTAAATCAGTATTTGTTTCATGTTGTTTTTTTCTTTTTTTGCTTTTTTTCAGTCAAAGTCTTTGGGTTTCATGGTCTCCAAGTTCAGGATCTTGCAGACGATGAGTCCTCTGCAGTAGCTTACTTGCACGTGAGGTCTTTCCCCAATAGAGAGTTATGCTGAGTACAGAGGGTCTCACGCCAGTTACTGTAATTATTAATAAGTTATATACATTCTTTTGAAACAGGCAAAATAGTTTAGTGAGCCTCACACACATTTTGAAGACACCCAATTCAAACGAAGATACACCCGTGGCATGTAAGGACACACCCTAATGCCCTAAGGCCTGGCTTGAGGATTTAACCGCGAGAGCAGGGAGCAGCGGCGATTTGCGGGCAGCCTTTGCACTGAAGCCTTGCTCCACCAAGGACGTATGGAGTGGGGCTCCGAGCAGATCGGATTTTAAAGAGGCTGAATGGCTGAACATAGCCGAACCAAGAAATAGTTTGGTCCGATATGCTGCGATTAAGGTTAACAGTTAAGTTAAAAGGTGAAATGATAGAGGTTCCCTTTAGCATGCAACACTTTGCTTGAAAAGGACTTGCACAATCAGTGTCCCATGTGTACCCCGATTTTGAGAGCCTGTGCTATTGAACAAATTGGCCACACTGCACAAGAAAGAAAACAACTTGAACACTAAGAGACAAGCCTGCCTCAGTTTTCCAGAACGTCGAGTCAGCGTATGATACAAGCAGGAGTAGCCTTTGTCAATGCAAATTTGACTCAGGAGATTCGACAGCTGGGTGACCAGGCCTTTCTAGGTGGCAAAAGGACTCCTGGCGCCTTGCCCATCTATGACTTAGATGGAAAGGTGAGCCTCAAGTGTCGTGGCTGAAAAAGATTAGGCATACGTATGTTGAAACCACGGACCGATTCGATCCGTCCGAGAGCTCCTGCTCTCCCCCTACCGGCGGCCTTTTCCGCGCCCGATCCTCGAGCAAAGGTTGCCTCCGGTCCGACCTATAATGCACACCCGTCGTGACACTGCTTTCACACTCCACCAACTGTAAAAACAAAAGCTTTCCGTCGAGCATTCGATACAGCAGGAGTACAGGTCACTTGTGAAAATTCTGTTCACTTCCTCTCTCGCTTGTCGCTGCTTCCCGGGAAACTCTCCGTAGGATCAGTGGTCTGATTCACACTTCCGGCGTAATCGATGGCACTGAGATAAGCAGCAAAGTCGCCGAAACGACCATCTCGATCTTTTCCATGGGCCTGAACCCAAATCAAATAGGACTGGTATTCAGTCTTGCTTGTAAGTTCTTGGTATGAGAGGCCCAACTTACTTACCTTCGGAAGGCGGCACACTGTGGATCCCCAGTCTTTCAGACTGGTCACGCCAGCGGGAAAACAAATCTTGGACTTGTCCATCTTCTCTGGAATCACTGGCTTCTGGTCATGGCTCATGTGTCCACCAAGACGTTCCTTCTCGAGTGGCTGATGCTCTTCTGAGTAATGAACCGGCTCCCATGCTTCATCCAACTCAATGTCTCGCTGGTCACGAAGACGCTTGGCACTGTCATTCATTGCAACATAGCCCTGTGTCACATCGCTGCGACTCTTTACACCCGATTGGTGGGCTCGGCTCATGATCGCCTTGGCATGTGCCAACTCCTCCGGAGTCACAGGAGTGGATGGGGAAGACATCGATCAAGCCACTGAACAATCAGAGACACGATTGCCTCTGAGATGCGAGAACAAGATCTTGAACAGATCAAAAAGGGCTTGCATTACCTATATCGGTTTCGGAGCGCTCACTCTGACATGCACAAAGCAAAACGACAAATTAGAAAACTCAACTGTACACAAAAAGGGCACGGCACGTGATCTGGCACTAGTTCTACTCTTTCATTGATTCCCTCCACGGCATCCTACCGACAAACACAATGACTGCAAGTGAACAACAAGTGCAAACACGTGTTCATTTCTCTTCTTCTGACGTAGAAGACTTCTGACTCTGGGCTTTGGCTCTCTTACCGGCTAGCTTCTTGCGTCTCTCACGTTCTTCTCTTTTCCGGTCCAAGACTGTCTGCTCGTCTGCCAGTTGGTATCTGGCTGCACGGAGAACTGAACGAAGGAGGTCCATCGGTTCAGCCTTGTCCTTAGTCAGTCCATCGGCTAGCATGTGTCCTGTGGGAACCCATCTAGCTTCCATTTTGGTTCGACGAATGGACTGCCTGATGATAGCTATGTCAATAGCTGTTCGTCTGTCATCTAGAACCCCTCCCGAACCTAACGAGGTCAAATGATCATATAGTGAGCGACAATCTGTCATGCCTATAGGGGGCCGCTTGAGGAGAACTTGGTCTGCTTCTTCCAACAGGAAAGGACCATCAAGACATTCGGAGGTCATGAGGGCAACCCATTCACACATTCCTGAGGCTGTCGAGAAGGCCTGTGCTTCACCTCCCATCGTTGATGACACTACGCGTGGTAGTCGATAAGACTTCCATGCGAAGCAGTGCACTGGAACATCTAAGCCTTGCTTCATTTTATTTGAGGTAAAACCAACGAGCCATCCCCCTTGAGTCTTAAGCTCAGTGGTGTTCGCGAAGGCGGCATCAGACCAAAAACAGAGAGTCAACTCTTCTGGTGCGATGAAAGGCACTCTGATTTGCAAATCTGCCTGTTGCCTTGCCCGACGCACGGCTTGGTTGGCTTGGAGAAGGTCAAAAACCGTTGGCTGAGGAAAACATTGCTGACTCTGAGATGTCTGTACAGCTATATCTGGTCTAGTTTGAGTACTCAACCAACTCAAGGCACCATTCACTGCTCTAAGCGCACTGATCTCCTGTGGATTCGCTGGTAGCCATGGACGCTGAGCTCTTTCCTTGTTGATCTTGATGGGCTGGATGTGTTCAGCATATTCTTTCTGGCCGAAACAGATTTCACCAGTCTCAAGGTCTTGCTCATAAACCGTCCCAAGGAATTCACCCTTCCCTGATCGCCACTTGCGGAAAGGAAATCTTGCTCGAAGCTTGGCTATGGCAGCTTCATACACCTCACCTTGACCTCCCGTGATTGTGTCATCAACATGAGCACCAAGGATTCCTTGCAGTTTACCATCCGGACCATGACAAATGTACAGACAGTTGTCAAACTTACTTCGAACAAACCCTGATGCAACAGCCACTCGATCAAACTCGCAGTACCATTCATGGGGAGCATCGTTAGCACCGTAAATGTTTCCAAGTACTTGAACAAGGGAACCTTCTTCAATGCCGGGGACTCCACCTGGTGGCAACTCGGCGTACACTGGATTGGCTAAGGCTTTGTCTCTTACGTTTGCTTCTAAAAAGGCGCCTTTAATATCTCCTAAGTGCATCACCCATCCATGACTTACGATCATCTGCAAGATCAGGCTTCGGCCGAACTGCGAGAGCGTCGGAGAATGACACTTCCCAGCGAGCACCTTTTGGAACAAGTCAGGATCATGATGTCCCCTCAAGCACCAACGTGCCTTGATCTTGGATTGTCCGTCCTCATGCTTCTCGATGATGACGAATCTGCTAGTCATGATTCGATCTGGTTTATACTGTCTGATCTTCTTGGCTTCAGTTGGGGACAGCACTTTAAGGGCATGCTTCTCATCTCGGAGTGTGGTCCATTCTGCGGTCTTGGCCAAATCTATCTGTTCTTGGATCATTGGAGGATTCTTCGAATGATGTAGTTCCTTCTGCATCTTTTTCTGAAGAAAGCTGGCAACCAAGACTTCTACACATGGAGCTGGGCCATTCTCCTGTATGAGTTCCGTCACAAGGCACTCATCCGAGTCTGTCTTCGAGCACTTGCTAGGAGCACTGGAGGGTCCGTCAGGAGACAGGCTACGTTTTGTTCCATGTGCCTCTTCGAGAACCTCTTGAAGATCTTCCATCCTGGTTTCCGGAGGTCTCAACAAGAACACCGGGGGTCCTTTGGTCTGTCTCAACCGAACAGGTCCGTAACCCTCATTGCTGTTTTCAGCACTGGTTCGCTCAGCTTCGGTTCCCAAGGGAGTCCACCTCGTTTGGGCATCTGTACCCATGTTTGCGAGTGTTCGAGACATTGAACTGGTTGTTCCTGTGGAAGGTTGCGCCAGTTCTCGCAGCTCTACCTGACTTCCTTTCCCCTGCAAAAGAGGGGGGGTCCGAACGTCGACGTTTGGACGGGGTCTTTTTGGATTACTACCTTCTAGGTTGTCAGACAAACTATCACCTGTTTCGGATTCTCCTATGCTCGGACTAGCTGGCTTCGGCATTGCACTCGACACGGGCTTTGTGGCCGACGGCACTGTCACGCTGGCTGGGTTCTCTCTCCGTGGACGAATCTGGAACTGTGATTCTCCCTTCCAAGTGGTTTCCCCCCAAACCCCGGTCTGCGTGTCCGGATCTGACCAAATCTTATGAACCACGACTTCACCTGTGTCCGAACGAATGGTCTTTCGCCAATTTTCCAAAGACACGCCCTTCAACAATGGGTCATTTGGATCAGGAAGGAACCACTTTTGACGTGGAGTACGATGAACTCTGCACAACAACTCACCTCGCTTGATCCACACATCTGGCTGAGCTACAGGTTCACTAGCAATCTGCATCGGAGTGGGAGTACCTGTCAAATCAATAAATTGTGATCCGATCTGTTCCTTGTCCTGGAGAATTGTGTTCAAACCCAACAACTCTCGACCGTCGGTCTGGGCAAGAAGTCTCTCTTCGGCAGTCACATGTCTCAAATGCTCTGGAGCCACTTTAAAGACGTTCTTCCTGTGATACACCAAAAAGTTTCGACCTACCTTACCCATGACAGTTGCAACCCCGAACCATCTACCTCCTACTAGTCTCATGCCACGCTCATACTTCTGGGTCCGCCAATATGCAACGAAGTCCCCTGGCAGAAAGTCTCTCTCTATCCTTGGTCTTGCATTCAAGGCTGTCCTAAGTGTCTTGTCGTCTTGAGACATGATCAGGGCCATGCGAGCCTGAGTGCGAATTGCCTGCGCTTTTGCCACTGCATCGTCGGACAGGGCGGCTGTCCCGGACACAGGGCAGGGCCATTCCTGAAGCAGGTCACCTGGCACTCTAGGGTTTCTACCGAAAACAAGTTGGCATGGCGACAGTCCATGTTGATTCAACAACTCGTTCTTTGCATTCATGGTCTGTACAATGCACTGTTCATATTCTTCTTTGTTCTTCGGTTGAACCTGATCCAACACCTTTTGAAGGATGACCTCAAACAAATGACCATGCTTCTCTACCTTCCCCAATTGGGAATGTGCTTCGGCTGCAGTCGACAGGACTCTGGTGCCATCTTGCTCTAGCATCTTGAAAATCTGTTCGGACTGATTAGTCCTAGCAGGGTCTGTGATGACTTCAACCGGAGGACCTGCCCATCGTTGCCAAGCATCAAGGTAGATACGCTTCAACACTTCACTGGTTTCCTTCTCATAAAAGGGGACTACTACCTGGAAGCTGCTGGCATGATCTACGATGTTCATGGTTTTGATCTTCTGGTTGACTTGCCAACCTGGCAAATTCTTGACATCCCAGCCAATCCGTTGATTGAATTCAGTGGCTTTCTCTGGATTGGACGGCAAGGAAGGCGTGGGTCGCTGTCTCTGCCGGCAAATGTCGCACTGACTCTCTACCTGTTCGGCTGCCTTCAAAGCTTGTTCCGAGCCACCTGCATTCTTCGGATTCTAATGAGGGTCCTAGTAGAGGGATGGCCTAGATTATTGTGAAGTCTCTTCAACAAGCTCTTTACCTTTTCAGGATCATGGGCAGCCTCTGCTACACAGACCTCATGGCACTCAGTCGCTGTTGGAAAGGATTCCTGCACATCGGCGAACGAACACAAACAATCTTGTGGTCTGATGCACGTGTACCAAGTTTGAACGAAGGCTTGTGTGTACGTGGCAGCTAATGCACTCCTAGAAACCCCTTCATTAGTCCTACCTGCTATCGACTGATGTCTTGCATGGCCGGGACATGTACGAACAAGTTCACTCATGTCAACATGTGATACGGCCAGTCCTGTCGGTTTGAGGACTGGAATCTGGCTGTCTGGGTCTGAAAGACCGTAGGCACACATGTCGGCTCGATGCCCGGACAACTAGCCTGCTTGAATGAGCTTCTTCATTGGGCCGAACTTCCACAGATCACTTGACCATGGATGTTCAACCAACACGCGTCCACCTCGTTTCAACTGGCGTTTGATCTGCTCAACACAAAAGGTGGCCTGTCGAGTGGCAATGCGTTGATTGTGCAACTGCTCTGCCACTGAAAGCTTGTGTTTGTTGAGTCTGTACCAACCACCCCAATGCTTGCACTCGGGCCAGCACACCAGCAACTCGGGAGCCTGCTCTTCCAAGATCGTGTCAACCTGCGCCTGTGTCTTAGGGTCAGTCAGGTCCCAGCCTTGCTTGATGTCAAACGCCAAGCCCTTGTCTCCTCTCTCCCTTGCCCAGGCACTGAACCTTGGCGGAGAGAATAGCTCAGCGACAGCACATTTGGTCTTCTTCTCCTTGTTCCAGGTTTCACTGTGTGCCAACAAGCACCGCTGTTCTCGGCGAGTGAGGACTCTGGTAGGTCCTTGCATGAACTGTTCTGCATCCTCCTCCGATGTGTCTTCTTCTGTCGTTGGATTCTGTCCTCCTTCCACGACAAGAGCCTCCTCGTCCACTCCCTCGGAGTCCAGCACGTTCAAAATGAACTGGCCAGCTGTGTTCATCTGAAGTGGTCGAGGTGGTCCGCCCTGGAGTTCCACTGTCTCAGCCGCAAAGTCCAGCTTGGCATCTAAGCTCTTCAAGGTGTTTCGGGACAGAAGAAGGGGTGCTGTCCCTCTGATCACCGCAGCTTCGATTCGGCCCGGTCGGCCGTGGATCACAATCGGCATGGAAACTACCTTCTCAGACAGCTCCTCTTGACCATTCCCAAAACGAAACAAATTCTGTTGGGGTCGACTGTCCGGCAAAGTCATCTTGCGGTCCTGATACAGACGCATGAACTCACCCAATGTCTGTTGGCCAATCAATGTACGACTGCAACCCGAATCAATGATGCCATACCCTGGTGAGGACACCAAATAACACTCGTCTGCATCTGTCACCATGGCTGCCCCACTAGGTTTCTCTGCCTTGTTGCTTGAACTGGAAGCCTGTGGGCAATTTCTTGCCCAATGTCCAATCTGACCGCACCGTCTACAGCGTGACTTCTTCTGAATGTCTGTCAGCTCCCGTGTGAATTGCTTCTTCACGGTATTGGCCTGTTTGAACTTTCTGGCTCTCTGCAGCTTTGAAATCTCGGTTCTCCTCTCCTTCCAGGTTGCTGCCAACACTTCTGCAATCTCCTCTTCATCATACACCTCAGCTGAACTGTTTGCGGATGCAGCATCATGAAACCCATGCTCTGTCAGAAATGCTTCCAACTCTTCAAAAACAACGCTATCAGGCCCTTCCGCTTCTTGAGCTGGCCCCGACTCCGGTTCATCCTCTGACCAGTCGTGTTGGACCACATAGGCTGGAGCGCTCCTGGCCTGTTTCTTGGTTGCTCTGAACTCTGGGAAGCAACTTCTCATCGCAGCTGTAATGCTGTCCATTTTCAAGTCACCCTGAGTCTTTGCTGTCACGATTGCTCGTTGGTCAGCTGACAACCCTGAGGAGTTGAGACATACCCAACCCTGTGCTTCAGGGGGGAAGTCCACCGACACTTTCCTCCGACATTTAGCGAAGGCTTCCTGGACTCTCGAGCACCATGCCACCACGGTCTCACCCTCCTGGGCATGCAGCTCAAAGACTTCCTTGAGACATTCGGCCATGTGGTCGTGGGCCAACTTGTCTGGAAATCTGTCATCAAGGCACTTCCAAATGTGTTTGTCTCCATTCTCTTCCCGGAGTAGGTCCAACGTCAAATGCTCAACAGTTTCCAGAGCCAATCCGTCAAGAAGACAAAACACGTAAGGACCTCGATGTGTCGGAGTCATGTCTTTGGTGGAGGCCATCTTGGCCAAAGCCCAAAGGCGCCACCGCCTGTACTCTTTGGGGTCCAGACTCTCCCCACTGAATCGACGTTGTCCCATCGACGACCCATCCGAGCTGGCGGCCATGGCACCTACACCCCAAAACTATACACTAGACACTGCTTTCAGTGTTCAGCCCTTCCTAAGGCCTAACTACCCCGGATGCCCTCCTCCGATTGGAGGAGGGCTCCGCTACCAATGTTGAAACCACGGACCGATTCGATCCGTCCGAGAGCTCCTGCTCTCCCCCTACCGGCGGCCTTTTCCGCGCCCGATCCTCGAGCAAAGGTTGCCTCCGGTCCGACCTATAATGCACACCCGTCGTGACACTGCTTTCACACGTATATACATGTTATATTTCCACACATTCCACAAGGGTTTTGCATTTCCCCTCGCCTGAGCCCATCAGGTTCCTTTTGGCCACCAACAAAGCCAGTGAGAAGAGCCGAGATCGACTCAGAGGTGAAGATTCAGAGGTGGGTCGATTGTGGGTTGACGAGGTCCCATGCAGCTCAGGTGGATAAACGCTTGGGATTTGACCCGTTGTGAAGGCAAGTGTGAGTCGGGGTACTTAAGATCTTTACACATGATGATGCGAGTGTTTTTACACGTAAGCCACACATTCCTGAACGATCGTACTACCTGTCGTTGCCTGACCTCACCGGCAGGTGGATTTCCATCGCCCGTTCATCCGCTGGCTCTTGAAGAAGGCTGGCCCGGTGCTTCCGCTCCAACCTTTGCTGATGTGGTCGTTTGGCAAATCCGACCATAGCCTGGTGTAACAGGGGTGACTATAATATAGTTGATCATTATCCTGCTAGAAGGCCACAGTTGATGCATCAGTGACATGCATCATCCTACCCAGCAAACTGTGGAGGCCCGGGAGCTGCAGCTCCTCAGCAGCCGGGAGGTGAGCCGTGGTAGCTTGGCACCCGGGCGTGTGGATGCAGCGCAGAAGAGTGGGCAGTGGTCACTGAGCTTGGAGCAGAACCAAGCGGAGGCGGCAGAGTTTGAGCACGGAGAAGCGGCAAAACTCGTCATCAAAAGGTGAGACCAACGCTGGTCGCAGCTGGTTTTTCTCAGAAAAGGTTAGAAAACTGTACAAGGAAAGGTCTTGAGACCAGCCTGGCAGTAAAACATGTTTGTGTGCCAAGAGTGAATGCCTAGGCGATGCAAACACGAGAGCATCATAGTATAGCGCATCAAGATACAAAGCCTTGATCAACATCCATGAGGGCGTCCTCTTTTTTGGTTACCTCTTGCATGTATCCACCTTAGCCTGTGGACGAAGGCTAAGACCACACATTGGACGCTTTGTTGCCACCCAATTGCTAGACCCAAAATCAACCACCCTAAAGAACCAAAGTCACCTTTCATTCCTGCTCCTTTCAGCACTCCTCAATAAGTCCGCCCGACTCGGTGTCTCCCCCTTCGCGAGGCCTCCGACGAGGAGGGCCGCCAGAAGAAGGCCCTGGCCCGCGCCCGCGTGCAGGACGCCAAAACCATGCAGATGGATGTCCGTTTCCCGACACGGAAGTCCTCCGAAGGCCGACAACGGGGAGCCATGCGCACCAGGGAAGATGGGAGGAGTGGAGAGGGACGGGAAACAAGAGGATGGAAGGAAAGGTTGAGGTGGATTGCCACAACGGTGGACGCAAGATGGCACACGTAATTGCAATATGATCCAATTAGATTGTGGCAGCAGGTAGACGATAGAGGCCTTGACGCATGATTAGATATTGCTCAACTTTTAAGTTGATCGTGAGTTGCATGGGTGCTTGTCCGATGTTGACTGCATTTGTTTTTGCTTAATTAAGGCCGCGTAGTAGTCTCAACAGTGAAGGAAACTTTGAAGACCACATGAGGCGGAAAAACGCACTTATCGTTTTAGATCCTTTTTGTAAGGAACGTTCCCAGGGTTCAGAAGTCGCTGGGCTGCTTGGAATTCCGGTGTTCAACTTGGATATGGCACCTTGTTGCGGCATTGCTCTAGGTTTTCGCTAGTTATACAGCGCTAGGTCTATTATTACTTAGGTGAAGTTTATCAAAGCTATTTTTCTGGCCTGAGGCAGCGGAGTTCACTCAGACTACTGCATCGTCTACAGGCATACACAAAAGAATGATAGGAACCTCACCTCAATCGACCAAAGCAGATGTTGACACAGGTTGACTCTATATACTGTATGACATTTAACATTTAGGAAGACTGCCACTTTGAGTTTCACCCTTGGAAGAAAAGGCATGAGCAACATACCAGCACACAACGTTGCAATGAGGACCGGTTCTCCACATGAAAGTGTGGAGCTGGGAAGGAATACCGGACCTGTTTTTTCAGCACAACATTCCAGCAGCGGCTGAACATATCACACGTTTGGTCAAATTTGTTTGTTGAGCTTGGATCGGCCTTTAGCGCTGCTGAGTTTTCCACCTAAAAAGTGGTGCTTCACATTCAATGGCTTAGCCTGGCAGGCTCTAACGAGGATGCCGCTGAGCTCCTAAAGCAACAATGGCGCAGCCAACTGGAGCCCAAGAAAGTCGATTTGATTGCACTTGAGCAGAAGGCCACCCTTTTTCTTGAATGAACGTTCATAGCTTTCCCGTGTCTTCAGAAAGTGACCCGACACTCTGTAACATGTTGCGGGTTCTGTTGGTTGATTCAACGGTCCAGCTTGTTTTGCCCAAGATCCCGGAGCCAAAAATGCTTTTGGTGCACTGGTGTCATCAAGTGTGATCGAATTTGCTAGGTCCTAAGTCCTAATCGACTAATTTGCCCCTGAGAGGTGGGTGTGTAGCTCAGTCTGAACAGCTCAGTCAACCAATCCCCAACATCATAACTCGTTGTTCACATCTACAAGGGATGGTGTCCGGATGTGCCGAGGACAAAATCGAAGCCAATTCAAGCCATGGCCTTGACCTGCAAAAGATGCCACTCGTTCGCAGATTCACTGAGTGTGCCGGAGATGTATGCTGTCAGCACTGTATCACACATGGTCATCATCTGTCATGATGCCCAAGTGAAGTTCGATATAAACGTCACAAATCTAAAGGATGAATTTCATTGCGATCTGGGAAAGTACTGTACTCAAGGATGTGTCAGCAACATGGGAGGCCTCTCAGAAAAAGTGCATCGTGTAGTTTGGTCAGCCAACCTTTACACCATATCGATACTGCACAACATCCATCGGGGTCCTGAAGCGAACTCTTCAGGTGCGACAGATTGACAGCTCCATCTCTATCTTTCGACTGGGAGGAGCCGGAGTCAGACGAGGACCACCGGCCCGCTGCGCGGCCCGCTGGGCCCGCCGGTCGTCGGACCAATTGGACCAAAGCCATATAAGTGTATAAGGAGCATCAAAGCCTGAATTCCCAAGTGCAAGAGAGTTTGTTCAGGTTCAAAGGAATATGAAATTAGTGTTTGATTCTTCGTTTTACACTTCAGGAGAAGACAATTGATGCCAATTGACAATACTTGGCATCTGGCCGGATGTCTTCCTCCTTTGTCCTTCTAGCCTCTTCTAACACGTCTCGACGTTTGGGGGGGGACTCAACGAATCGCAGGACGAATCCAAAGGCATCCTGCAGGCAGGGAC